TATATGTACCCACTATATGCTCTATGTATGAGTTACTGTCAGGACACAGCCTCAGTATATGTACCCACTATATGCTGTATGTATGAGTTACTGTGATGACACAGCCTCAGTATATGTACCCACTATATGCTCTATGTATGAGTTACAGTGAGGACACAGCCTCAGTATATGTACCCACTATATGCTCTATGTATGAGTTACAATAAGGACACAGCCTCAGTATGTGTACCCACTATATGCTCTATGTATGAGTTACTGTGAGGACACAGCCTCAGTATATGTACCCACTATATGCTGTATGTGTGAGTTACTGTGAGGACACAGCCTCAGTATATGTACCCACTATATGCTCTATGTATGAGTTACTGTGAGGACACTGCCTCAGTATATGTACCCACTATATGCTCTATGTATGAGTTACTGTGAGGACACAGCCTCAGTATATGTACTCACTATATGCTCTATGTATGAGTTACAATGAGGACACAGCCTCAGTATATGTACCCACTATATGCTCTATGTATGAGTTACCGTGAGGACACAGCCTCAGTATATGTACTCACTATATGCTCTATGTATGAGTTACAATAAGGACACAGCCTCAGTATATGTATCCACTATGCTCTATGTATGAGTTACTGTGAGGACACAGTAGCCTCAGTATGTAGCACCCACTATATGCTCTATGTATGAGGTGCATTGAGGACTTCAGCCTCAGTATATGTGCCCCACTTCCTTTATGCTCTATGTATGGTTACAATGGGACACAGCTACTCAGTATGTGTGCCACTATATGCTCTATGTATGAGTTACAATGGGGTTACAGCCTCGAGGCCCTTAATGGCCCATCCCACTATGTGTGCTCTGTGTATGAGGTTACAGTGAGGACACAGCCTCAGTATATGTACCCACTATATGCTCTATGTATGAGTTACAATAAGGACACAGCCTCAGTATATGTACCCAATATAGGCTCTATGTATGAGTTACTGTGAGGACACAGCCTCAGTATATGTACCCACTATATGCTCTATGTATGAGTTACAGTGAGGACACAGCCTCAGTATATGTACCCACTATATGCTCTATGTATGAGTTACAATAAGGACACAGCCTCAGTATGTGTACCCACTATATGCTCTATGTATGAGTTACTGTGAGGACACAGCCTCAGTATATGTACCCACTATAGGCTCTATGTATGAGTTACTGTGAGGACACAGCCTCTGTATATGTACCCACTATATGCTCTATGTATGAGTTACAGTGAGGACACAGCCTCAGTATATGTACCCACTATATGCTCTATGTATGAGTTACAGTGAGGACACAGCCTCAGTATATGTACCCACTATATGCTCTATGTATGGGTTACTGTGAGGACACAGCCTCAGTATATCTACCCACTATATGCTCTATGTATGAGTTACTATGAGGACACAGCCTCAGTATATCTACCCACTATATGCTCTATGTATGAGTTACAGTGAGGACACAGCCTCAGTATATGTACCCACTATATGCTCTATGTATGAGTTACTGTGAGGACACAGCCTCAGTATATGTACCCACTATATGCTCTATGTATGAGCTACAATGAGGGTGCTGCCTCAGTATAACACAGTAAAGGAGTTTAATCATGCGTGGGATAGGCATAAGGCTATCCTAACTATAAGATAAGGCCAGGGACTAATGAAAGTATTTAGAAATATTGGGCAGATTAGATGGGCCGAATGGTTCTTATCTGCCGTCACATTCTATGTTTCTATGTATATGTATGCACTATATGCTCTATGTATGAATTCTATGAGGACATCACCTCAGTATTTGTACCCACTATATTGTCTATGTATGAGTTGATCTGAAGACTCTTCCTCAGTTTGTGTTCTTTATATGCTCTGTGTTGCTGTGAATACACAGCCTCAGTATATGTCTTCTATATGTAAGGTGGTGTGGAGACATTGCTTCAGTGTATCTGTTCTCTATATGATTGATGTATTAGTGGAAACACAATATATGTGAATTATATAAGTACATCCTCTATGAGTCCAATCTAATACAAGTTCTATGTGTGGTTGTTAGTCACAACCTCAGTATATGTGAGTGGTATAATATGTGCATGAAGCTCTGTTAAAACACAGCCTCAATTTAGCTCGCTCAAATAATCTTAATATGTGTGCAGGCATAGTGTCACTGTATATAGCAGAGGTAGGCTATGTATGATTACTGTTTAAACAGACTCAGTATATGTAACTGATATATCTGGGCATAAGGTGCTGTCAGAAACATCCACAATGTATGTGATTCATATAATCTGTATGCAGGTTGGTAGTATTATATAACCCCAATTTATACACGGCATTGGTAGATTTAATATATACAAATAATCTAATGTCTGTTTTGCGCTGAAATGTAGCACTGCCCAGTTCTAGCAAATACAAATGCCCTGTTCTACTGGGTAAGTAACTATTGCCTACTGTGGATTTTCTATTTCAGTTTTTTAAATGAAGTAGATAAGGAAACAAACTGCTTTTGGCTTTGTATTATATTCCTTCTCCGACAGGTGTTTCAGGATAAGCAATTAACACATTTTACCACTTCAAATAGATTGCAAGTGTTACTGAACCTGTCTGAGCGCCTCTCCCAGGAGAGAAGGAGACCTGAATTTCCAAAGTGGAGCATGGTAATGTCTAACATAATCAATGTTGTTTTTTGTGTGCATACCTATGTAATTATACATGAGACCATTCTACATAAGGGTTTCTATTGCCAGGCATCCTCTCCTCTCTGTACAAGATAGGGAATGTTTCTTCAATTGGTGGCAGTGTTTTACCTTCAGATATATGCTGATTGCTGATGCACAGTTTAGTAGATCATGCTGATTACTGATGCACAGCTTAGTAGATCATGCTGATTATTGATGCACAGCTTAGTAGATCGTGCTGATTGCTGATGCACAGCTTAGTAGATCGTGCTGATTGCTGATGCACAGCTTAGTAGATCGTGCTGATTACTGATGCACAGCTTAGTAGATCGTGCTGATTGCTGATGCACAGCTTAGTAGATCGTGCTGACTGCTGATGCACAGCTTAGTAGATTGTGCTGATTGCTGATGCACAGCTTAGTAGATCGTGCTGATTGCTGATGCACAGCTTAGTAGATCGTGCTGATTGCTGATGCACAGCTTAGTAGATCGTGCTGATTGCTGATGCGCAACGGTAGATGGGTATGATTACTTGATGCTGGCTTGGTAGATGGGTGCTTTGATTTAACGATGCAGCTTAGTAGGTCAGGTGCTTTGATTGCTGATTACGCAGCTTAGTAGATGCGTGCTGACTGCTTTGATGCACGAGCAGTAGTCGTGCTGATTGCTGATGCAGCCAGTAGATCATGCTGATTATTATTGATGCGCACGAAAGCAGTAGATCGTGCTGACTGCTGATGCACAGCTTAGTAGATCGTGCTGATTGCTGATGCACAGCTTAGTAGATCGTGCTGACTGCTGATGCACAGCTTAGTAGATCGTGCTGATTGCTGATGCACAGCTTAGTAGATCGTGCTGATTACTGATGCACAGCTTAGTAGATCGTGCTGACTGCTGATGCACAGCTTAGTAGATCGTGCTGATTGCTGATGCACAGCTTAGTAGATCATGCTGATTATTGATGCACAGCTTAGTAGATCGTGCTGACTGCTGATGCACAGCTTAGTAGATCGTGCTGACTGCTGATGCACAGCTTAGTAGATCGTGCTGATTGCTGATGCACAGCTTAGTAGATCGTGCTGATTGCTGATGCACAGCTTAGTAGATCGTGCTGATTGCTGATGCACAGCTTAGTAGATCGTGCTGATTACTGATGCACAGCTTAGTAGATCGTGCTGATTGCTGATGCACAGCTTAGTAGATCGTGCTGACTGCTGATGCACAGCTTAGTAGATCTTGCTGGTTGCAGGAGCACAAATTGGGCTATTTATTGATCTCCTAAGTAGGTAACGCTGAAACAATTACCTGACTGTTTTCTCTGATATATTTCTTTTCTTTCTATAATCTAATTTACCTGATTTAAAAGCTGTTAATATTGTCTTTTTCTTTCATCTGGTCAGAACTTTAGTATCATTGTATTTTCTGCAAGCTTCTGCTCTGAAAAATTCACTACTCCTGGTCTGCTTTATACTTTTTATTCAGTATTCTCTTTTATCCCTTGGGGACCTGAAAGTTTGGCAATCCCGTTTAGTATGTCAGGAGTGGCATGCTTTTGGTTCTTAAGGAGTTAATGATCAGAAACTTCTGACCGATTCTCCTGTTGTGAAGGGGAACATTATAATTTCCTTTCTGCAATAAAGGTATTCTTTTAGGCTCATATGCTCCAGGTAACTTTGATGCTGTGTATTGCAAGTATTTTAAGGTCTTTCCAGTCCCCAGACCATTCTACCAGGTTTACTATTTCAGGTAACATTCACCTGCTACCTGAACAATAGAGGAAATCCCTAAACAGGTAGTTCCATTACGGACCTCTTCTGATATTCATGGGGATTCTTCTAGGTGTCCTTATATCTGGAATTTGCAACCAATGTGTGGCTTTAAATGGTTGATTCATCCTGCATAATATAATGTAATGCAGCTTGTTGATGACAAACATTTGACTGATATGTTTTACAGGGTCTCTGTACCTAGATCGGTATAAGTTATGGTCACTCCTAACATTGCATTGATTTAATACTTGTGGATTATATGTTTGGATTGGTGTTGATATCTTGCAGATATAACAAGTTGCTTATTATCACCATAGGCTCTGCCATAAGTACTTCATCACTATCTGAAGATAAGGTAAGAGTAAGTATGCGGTTGTTTGTTCTCATAAGGATAACTGAATATCTTCTACTATCCTGCTTATTATGT